GACTGACTGACTGACTGACTGACTGACTGACTGACTGACTGACTGACTGACTGACTGACTGACTGAGCGTAGTGACTAAAGCAGAGCAGTGTCTGAAAAATGTCTGCGTTCAAGATGATCTTCGCTCTGATGCTAACCTACTGTGGTGAGTCGTGCTTTGACTGAAAATCTTCGATCCCGGATGCAAGCGGTTCAAACAGGCTTTCTGAGAGAATAGCCTGAACCGACGCGTCTCGACATGGTCAGAAATGGAGATATTCGGGTGAATTTTCCCGTAGAGCTGATTTTCCATATTGAGAATTCAAAGCTGCGATGGTTTGGGCGTTGGTTGTGAATGCCTCAAGAAAGGAAGGCGAAACAGCGACTATTTGCGCGAACGATTAGCCGAAGACTCCGGAAAAGGCCAAGAATGACATGGGGCAAGTGTTTCGTTGAAGGACACCACTTCAGCGTCGAGTTATCTTCTGCCGAAGCTAAAACTTTGGCAGAGGGTCGAAAACGTTGGCGAAACAATGTGATGCATCCAACTTTACGACCTGGATAAGCGAGCGTCAAAGCTGACTAACCGAAGATCACTTTTTATTCCATTGTAAACATATAATTATGGTATTATGGATGCGTCATTAAAAGTTAGCGCATGACTAATCAGTGCTGAGAATTTCCGGTTGATGACAGTGTCATCTAAGGCTACATGAGGTTCATCAGATTAACTCGAGTGATGATCATGATTGAAATGCGTCCGATGGTCGAAATAAATTACGGTTAAGATTTTTCGAAAGACTGGAAATTGCACTGGTCATTAAACGTCATGAAGTTCAAGTTTAATATGTGCTCGAAACATAAAAGCTACGTTATCAGCAAAAACAAATTTTGCAGGTTCTTTTACTGTTTTCCGAACAACGCGTACTTACATATGAAATAGTAGCTGACCCCCTTTCGGAACTCCAGGCCACCTGGATTTGGCGTAAATTCGCGGATCACCAGTGTAATGATGTTAGGCGTGAACGGCAAGGCACAGACGCCAACGATCTCTTCGCTTCCAGACCGAACACACTGATTGTAATCTGACCGTGAAACCTAAAGCACATTAAGTACTATTAGAGACTCGATGTCATTACCTTTATTATGCATCGAGAAATCCTGGAGTCTATAAACCACTCAGTTGCTTTCCGAATTACTGAACGAAACTGAATCAATTGGAAAACTGGTCAATCGTCAATATCCACTTAATCAATGTGGTCAAATGCATGTGATGTTGTATTACGTGGTTTTGACGTTTCCCTCGTGGAAGCGGCTACCCATGAAAATGAACCCCAAATTGACTTATGGCCACAGGTCAACAATATTGCTGGCATGGTCAGAAAGGCGCAGTATGTTTGGCTTGATCTGCGTCAAATGACAGTAACACGATTTATTACCGTATTTACATAGGGTGTAAGTTAACCGTTGTTCCATCGTATTGAGGATTACATACAATCGTCCAAAGCTTTGGTGATTACGGAGTTCTGCGTCCTCCGGCGTTGCATTAGGTCAACTACCAGGGCAGAGCGGATAAGCAACGAGAAGGTAGGGCAGACTCTCGTCAGTGATCGCTAAAGCATT